TGAGATGAGCAGTGGGGACACCAGATCATATATGACAACAGTATTCCATGCATGGATGAATGGTAGATTTGTAGATATATTGTGATATATAACAATTTATTTTGTATTTATCAACACTGTGTATTTTATTTTAATCATTACAGAAAGCCAATATAAACCCAAATCACTTATACTAATATATGGTGGAAATGGACTTTGTCATAAGATAAACAACTCATCCATAGCTAATAACCTCATAGGTGACTATTGTGACTTTAAAGGGGAAGATGACTAATCAAGAGGTAGCCAGGTGGAAACACTAATTACTAACGCCATACTTTGATGTTTTGTACTTTCTGTAACAATAAAAATTACTTTTTCCAAAAAATCCTTTTTAAACTTAAAACAACTGAAATGTGAAATTTCCTCTGATGACCCAATATTTTTTTTACATGACCTTTTTTCGACATAACTCTGCTTAAGATGCTCTCTATCATTCACCATAGAGCATTAGTGAAAACTTGTTTTCTGATACTCAAAGATCATAAAATGTACTGAGAAAAGCATACTGTTAATCACTGTCGATTTTGGTGTAAAATTAACAAAAGTAATTCATTTACCAAGGTGAACCAAAGGTTTTGCACACCAACATGTGTATAATAAAATAATAATACCTATGTAAAAAAAAAAAAAAAATTATATACTTTAATATATGTCAAAGCAAACAACTTTTGTATATAAAATGAAAAAATGTATAGAAAGAACTTTGATTGCGTCCAGGTTCTTACAACATTTCACCTTTCTTAGAAGATTTGCTATTATGTGGTATAAAAAGTGATAAAAACATAAAAAAAAGCATAGCAAATTGGATGAGATGAGACTATAGAGAGAAAGAAAGATAGGCTGTGGGGAGTGATGCAGTAACTGAACGTTAAAACTAAATGAGCGATACCGAGACCAAATACTCACTCAACTTAAAATTAAAATCAAAGAAAATAACTGCTCAAAGTTTACGTAACATGACAAGCGTATTTGTATATCATTTGTTTGTAATTTCTGCAACCCGTTGTTGTACTAGAGTTCTCTCCCTTGCTCTGGCACTGTTTTGTGATGAAAAATGACAGGCTGTTTCAAGATGTTTACAAAGCCAAGTGTGTGTGTGTGTAGATTTTACAGTAATGAAAGATTGAATATTTTTTGTTTTTTAGGGTGGAGAATTGATTAAAAGATTATTATAATTTAAAACAAGAAAAGTATTTTTCAAAAACAATTTTTTAAAAAATACTACAGCAAAAAACAAATTTAATAAATAACTTTAATAAATAATTTTTCTTAATAATAAAAATAATTTCCTGCCAAAAAAAATACATTTTTCATGATTTTTTGGTGGGATATTTTCAGATATGTAAAAACATATTCTTTTACAATTTGATCAATTTGACAAAAAAAAATTGAAGCATGAGTGAACACATCATAAAACAAGGCATTTTTTAGGAGGTAATTTCAAGAAGAGTGATGCCAATCACCATTAATGTGCTGTGTGGAATTTCATTTTTAAATAAATCTCAAAAATGTTTATATCAAATAATAATAAACAAGTATTTTTTTTTTAAAGTTGGAAGGGCTTTCAAAGAAAACAAAAGTGTTTATACTACTGAGTGGAGTCCATAATGAAAAGCAAGTTTCTCATGATAAATCTGACAGTTTGAAATTCATGGGAAAATTAAGCAATACTAAAATTTATTAATAAAACAAAAGCGTGTTGTCAATAACAAAATTGGTGGTATAGCTTAAGTAAAGAGAACGTAACTGGAATAAAATCATTGCAAAAGCATAAATATTAATTTTGATGATGGAATTAATGATGGTCAGATTCTCAGAAATCTTAGATCACCAAAAGGTTAAGTTATAATAATATTTTTTGGCAAACTTGGACCTTCATGCCCACAAAAAATAGAGTCTCAAAAGGATGAGTTTTCCATTGATACCACTATTATTTTAACTACTTTCACTCCTCAGCAATGTTTATTGCTTTAAAAAGCAATGATTAGAATGGTAATAAAACTTAAACATATAATGAAAATGAATTTATAAATATTTTTTGTTCTTGAGAATTTACAATGAAAATATTAAACATTTATTTGATTGTTTATTTATAATAATTTTATATTTACAATATTCTAAAACCTAATTAAAATTAAATGCAATGCAATATTTATCATTTCCAGTTTATTAAGAAACAAATATGAAAATAATTTTTTATTCATAAATTTATAAACATTTATTAAAATATATGAACTATAAGGAAATCTTTATTATTTACCATTTTATAAAGTTTGAATCAAATTCTAACCATTCCAATAGACAATATAATAGAGTAAATAAACAATCTAATAAAATCATAGTGTTTATTATTTTTGTTGTTAATGGAATAACTCTCCTTTTGACATACCATTATTTTTTGTGAGCACAAAGGTCCAAGTTTACATGATTTTTTTTTCAGCAATCAACAATCTAGAGAAAGATACTGTAATCCCTGCCATCAAGGAGGCACTCTGAATTTTTAGGGAACAAAAAAAAAAAATAAGCATAAAAATAAAGAACATCAGTATCCAAATAAGGAAATGCTTAACAACATTAACAAGATTTTTTTTCATGGGTGGTTTACTGACCGATCCCTTGTTTATATAAATATCTTTTTTATTTCAAAATTATAGCAGACATTAAACCTTTTCCTAGACACACATGTATTGAGAACTGTCAGCAGCAGAAGCAGAAAACCCTTCTCTGCTTTTGGGCATGCATAAATCGGTGAAAATAAGTTGCTGCTGCTTGTCTAGCAAAAGTTTTAATGTCTGCTACACAATAATTATAACAAAAACAACTCAAAATACCATGGCAATGTTAATAAAACTGTAGCCTACAATATTCACTGTTTAGCCATACATACCAATAAAATAGTCTGGCTGTACAATTCAACATTAGTACACAATCTCTATTATTACAGGATTATCTATATTAAAATCAATAATAATATGATAAGCCTATAGAGTCTATAAGCAAGACTACCACTTTTGGTACATTGATAGCAAATTGGTACTTTTAGTATTACATCAAGTACATTGTGTACTGTTTATTGCAAACATTTTTTTATTGTCTGTTAATATAAAAAGATATTAGTTGTTATTGGAATCAGTGAGTTATTTTAAACATTTTTGGATATAAAATGAATGTACAAAAGAATACAGGCCACAATACAGAATTGATACTGCCACATGATGGTGTCACTTCTCCTTAATTTTCACCTCATCAATATGATGTTTTGATTTGAGCTCTGTGTTTGATTTGTATGAGTTTCAGCTGAATGGTTTGAATGTTAAAACAAAAGTTTTCTCAGGTTTATAATTGTTTATCCTTCCCAATTGATACCAAGGCAAATAAAATGGTTTAAGAGGCAACAGTAAAAATACAATATTCCATGATTTTATCAATACAAAAAATAAATAAAGAAAGAATTTTAAGCAAGCAGCAGCAGCAACCAATCATCAAGCTGGTATCTTTTTTACAATTAACCAATGAGATTTTTTTATTTCACCTTAAAACAACCATCTTTAAGTCTGCCACCACCACTGCCATGAAATGTATTTCTCTAAATTTTCACAATATTACCACTTCCATTCATAGTTAAAAAAAATGATCTGTACAATTTCTGATCACCGGGCTAAGACTCCCTGTTTCTAAAAAATGGGCCATTTCTTTAAAAAAATTTTCATATTTGTAATGACTTAGATACACACACAATTAATAATTTTGATATTTCTCAAATTAACCAATGTTAATGAAATAAAAATCTAGTTACTCTTTCTGAACATAAGCAGCTAATGAAACTAGATTATTAAATTATATTATTATAAGATTATATACATTATAAGATAATGTCAGTAATTATATACTCTTATATATAAATATAAGTAATTCTGTACATTATAAGATTATATACATTAAGTAAATTATTGATTGATAAGAATTTTAGAACAATAAAGTTAAATTAAAAATATTTGCCTTGACATCAATAAGGAAACAACAGAAGAGGACATTTTGAATACAATAACAATTACCCACAATATATTTGAGAAAAACTTATTTTGGACTCAGCAATTTGTGCTGTCTATGCAAATCATCTGATGACATGTTCATTATGAGGATGTAATTAAAATGGTTCATATTTATTTTGAATGTTGGGAAGGAAAATAAAATCCTACTTTATAGATATCACATTTTTATCTAATTTATTCTTCTGCTGTTTTAACTATATTTTCATAAAAATCTTTAAATGTCTGAAATTTATTTATATATCAGCCACTTGAAAATTACTTTGATTAAATATTACTGAGAAGATAAAGACACAGGTATACAGAAGTGATCTACTGACTAGTTTTAGTCAGACCTAAAAATTTTTAAATATACATCAATTTTTTTACCATCTAGTCAGACTTTTGCAAATTTTCAACACACCCTCTTCTGTCTGTCTGTCTCTCTACCTCATATATATATATATATATATATATATATATATATATATATATATATATATATATATATATATATATATATATTTGTATGTGTGTGTGTGTATAGTTGAACAACAATCATTCTTTTATACATTGAATGTGACAGACAAGGAAAATTTTATAAGATTTATTCAGTATTTCTAATGTTCATACAATTTTTCATTTATGGGGACAAAAAGAGTATAAAAAAACTTTCCATAGTGATTTATATACTGTCTGTAGCACTTCATATAAAATGGTTTAAGCCCTTACTTTCTTTGAAACTGGGAAGAAACATGTTGGCACTGTTCTAAAGGCATCCTGACATGGAATTACTACTACTCTCATTCAGTACAGCTTATAATTACTACTACTCCTTCTACAGAATACAATTTGAAAAATATATACACAGAAAAATATACTCACAATGAACCACTTGAAACTGGCTAAAAGTGACTGAGACAATAATCACTACAGACTGTTTCTACACTCTCTTACTTCCCCCAAAAAGGAAACCTGTAAGAACATTAGAAAAATTGAATAAAAAATTTTCCTTGTCCATCACATTCAATGAAACATATATATATATAAGTAGACACTGAGGTCAACACTGAAAAGCAACAGTCTCTTTCATGCTTGAACACAATCTTCAGATTACATTCAACCATGAAACAAACTGTTACCACTCAGTATTGAACTCATTGTCCACTTTATGTTTACATATGCTCTATCCTTGATATTGAGTATTTTACCCATAAATATGGGATACCGTAAAACTATATTTTATCATATATATATATATATATATATATATATATATATATATATATATATATATATATATATATATATAAGGTTATAGTTGCTCAATGAGAGAAAAATGTATATTTTAAAAAAGAAGATAAACTGCAAACGTTTTTGGTTGAAATGTGGGATTTCTTATTTTAAAATATATATTATACTCTATTTTCTATAATTCTGCTAACATGTTTCTGGTTTTGCAACCTTCTTCAGGCAAAAAGTAGATATTTCCACATATTATAAAAATGAATTTTTTGTGTGGTAGTGATTCAAATGTATTTCTTGTCTAAGAACCAATTTCAACCAAAAAGTTTTGCAGTTTATCGTCTTTTTAATATATATATATATATATATATATATATATATGTAGGCAAATATATGGATATAAATCCGACAGTATGAAGAAAAATATATACGGAAAAAAAACAAACAAAAATCCTTATGTACAATTATGCTGTTTTAATGTTAATATGTCAACGTCGAACGTTTCGGAGCGCTGATCTTATAAAACTTTCAGTTATCTGTTTGGATAAGTCTTGTTCTTATGTACATCGTCTTTGTCATGTTGTATTGATAATGTTATAATTTATGAATATGTCCTGAAGATGGTTTATTAGACCGAAACGTCCGACGTTGACATATTAACATTAAAACAGCATAATTGTATATAAGGATTTTTGTTTGTTTTTTTTCCGTATATATTTTTCTTCATATATATATATATATATATATATAATTTAAGATAAATCCTCATCCTATTTTCAGAATGGTTCAAAAGCAAAAGATTCATATAACCTTTTCTAAAATGAATTTAAGGTAAATCCTTATACAATTTTTCAGAATGAGTTGAAAACACAAAGCCATATCTTGATATATATGAACATTTTACTTTCAACCTATTCTGAAAAATTGTATAGATAGACACACACACATGCTGTGTGTAGGTGTAAGATTGTTTTTGTGTCTTGTTTTTGTAAAGGCTATACATAAATATAACTCCTATTGATATATGTAAAATGATGAAATTTAACATATGTCCAGGTGAGCAGAATTTTGGTAATGAGTTTACTCAATCTGTTAAAGCAATAATTATTATTATAAATTAATAAAATGTCCATGATAGTTATCTGTGACCAACAAAACATTTCAGTGTTGTGTTGTCATTCATTCAGATCAGATATATGAGAGAGAAATATTGTGAACATTTTATTTACTTATAATAATAATAATAATAATAATAAATATATATATATATATATATATATATATAAAACAAATTTGATCATTCAGACTATGGCTGTAAGTGAACCCTGGACATATGAAAAAAATAAGATAAAATTTTTCAAAAGTGGGATTTTTTAAGATTTCCAACCCATCATGAATAAATTATACAGTTTGTCTCCTTATAATGTTTAGCAGTGTTCAGTTTGAACACATCATCAAACACAAGTTTCGTATTCAATCTTTGGTGGCATCGTCACCTGTTTAAAGCCTTCATAGCAACCCTCTTTTATCAAAAATCGTTCTGTGTCTTTCTGGCCCTTGAAAAAATAACGCTTCAGTATTTCATGAGAAGGTGGAAAGAGGGCTTCATGAATCCTGCGTAAGTTCTTTCGATTCACCTGAAAAGTCTGTTTGTTCCATGTTAAAAATATCCCACGCCCAAAGTTGTCTGCAGGGCATATGTCCTGCCAGCCTGCAAAAGGTGACACGGATACTGTGCGGCCCTCAGGAAAGACAGGAAGATTGTTGGTCCAACCACCATCTAGATATTTCTGAAATCAAATGAATAAATTTAAATGATAAATAGATGTGACTGAAGGACATTTGTTGACGTGAATAACATATCTAAGGGAGGTAACTATGTTCGAAAATGTAACAATAAAAGCTGACAAGTATGATAGTTATGCATATGTAGTAAGTATCAACAATGTTTAATATTCATGCCTGCAAAAAACAATGTACTAGAAGGACAGCTACTCACTTGGCAATGTTTATTTACAAGATTTAAAAAATATGTGAACCAAGTACAATGCAATATTTATTATTTACTTTTCATAAAGATTTATTGTTTATCATTTTATAAAGAAATAAATTTGAAAAGAAATATTTTTATTCAAAAATTTATAAAAACTTACAAAATTATTAAAATTGTAAACAAACTACAATGGAATATTTATTATTTACCATTTTATAACTACAAAAACTAGTTTTTTATTTAACCTAATAATTAAATAATGTTTAATATTTTTGTTGTCAATTCTTAAAAATAAAGAAAATGTATAAATCCAGTTACATATATTTGGGTTTTATTAAAATTCTAATCTTCATTTTTTAAAACAGTAAACATTACTGAGGGAGTCAAAAGTAATAGTGGTGTCAAGGGAATAACTGCCCTAAGTGTCATTGCTCATAAATATATTTCAGATTTATTCAAAGAAATATTGTATAGAAATTTGTCACAGAATCTTTTTTCTTAATGAAATTGATTTTCTTTTTTTAATACTTCTATCTCAGTGGTTAGAAAAAAGGCAAGGTAATAAAAGAAAGCAAGAAGAAAAGACTAACTATCAACTGTATGAAAACAGAATGTATGGTTGTTAGCAAGAGGGTCAGCCCAAGATGTAAGCTATGAATTAGAGATGTCAGAATTAAGCAAGATAGAAAATGAGACACAGAAATCTGAATATTTATTGGAATAGTAAAGATGTCTCCCAAAAGCTAAACAAAGTATTAAAAAGTAAAAAAAATTATTTGAAACAAAGAAAAGAATGCTGAACTGAAATGTAATATCAATTTTCCTATATGGCAATAAATACTGGAGAATTTTCTCAGAGATGCAGTAGAGATATGAGGCAAAGGAGATGTGGTTCTGCAGAAAAATGCTGAGAATACCATAGACAAAACATAAGAGCCAATAGGAAGTTTGAAAGAAAATGGGAACAAAAAAAGACACCTGTACTTAGAATCAGAAAGAGAGTTGAAATTTCTGTGATGCGTATTGAGGAAGTAAGGCTTGGAGAATTTGAGACTCACAGGATATGTACAGAAGTCAAGAATAGACTTAGTCTGTGTTAAAAAAAAAAACTTTGTACAAAAAGAAGATCCTGACAAAGGTGCCAAAAATTTATAGATGGTGAAAATCAGTTCAAGGTCATAAAAAATTTACAAATCACATGATTTCACACATGGACATAGTACAGTTCACCATGTCCTATTTTAAAAAAATGCTTTTTATCAAAAGAAAGATAAAAAATATATTTATGTCAAACCTTTTGGATCTCACAAAGTACTATATAGTGATTTTTACTTATTAAGGTCAACCTGCTACAGACTCTATACCACTGACCATACCTTCTACAGAAGGTTTTATAGCTTTATCCCAAAGGTGCCAAAATTTATAATTATGTTCTTTACACAAGTACACAGACATTATAAAAGAACCACTCTCATCCCATATTCAACTCACACTGTAATAGCCAGTAATAAATTAGTTAATGTTTATTTCACATGGATATTTCTTTCATTCCAATTTTTGTTGCTGTGTTTTTTTTTGTTTTTTTTTTTTGCCTGCTGATGAATCACAACATGACTTTTTCTAGAAGTTTAATTTTATTTCAAATTCTTCTCAATGTCTGCCATCCCTTCTTTCAATATTGGCAGCAGGATGGCTGTCATACAAATCCACTATATATTGAATGCAAAAGCGTCAAAAGGAAACAGCAAATAATCTACCTAACAAGCTTCTATAAATGGATGAAAGAATACAGAATGGGATTTTATTGATTTATTTGCCTTCTATGGCTTATCAACCCTTTGCAGGTTATTTAAAGCCAGAAAATATTTTTAGATTGTAAGAATTTTTGGAAGATAATTATTTATTGATGCAAGTACTACTAATTAACTCATAGCTAAGGGGAGAAGATGTGCATTCATACCTTTTCCAAGGCTATTTGTGCATAAGTGAATATAAAAAATGCAACAGGAATTGGAACTCAGTTCTCAAATTTCCAATTCTGAGCCATTATCCATTCCCCACCTGTACATTCAATCTTACAGCAGGTGGTATTCCCAAGTGGTCACCCATCTAGGTACTGATCAGGCTTGATGTTGCTTAGCTTTTGTGATTGTACAAGTACCAGTGTTTCAACGTGATATGGTTATAAGTCTATAGACTGGGAGGAATAACAAGACGATAAACATTGCTCAGAGTTACAAAAGATAGGAAGTTGTGGAGAGTCAGGATCACCCACATTCTGATTGGTTTATTGGTTTATTTTGTTTTACAGCATATCAACCTCAGTGGGTTATTTAATGCCGACAAGATTTTTAAGATATGTTCGTATGAATAGAATATGTAATCTTTGTAAGAAATCAGTTTGTAGATCAGGTTTCATTGATGTATTTTTGTAAAGAGGGTTTTTGTTGAGAGTCAAATGTATTGCTGGTAATATTTTTTTCCTCAAAAATGTCTTGCTGGTATTTTTTCTATAAAAATCTATTTTTATACTTTCATAGTGTTTCAACCCTACTTTGGGGGTTAACATTTTACCTGTAGCTGGGACCCTAACAGGTGCTACCACCCTAGGTCCAGGTGACCTGGGAACAACAGCAATTAAGAGGAGGTTCCACACTCCTCAAAACCTTGTGATCAGAGGCCTTGCTGCTGGATGTAGTTCATTATCATACCCAGGACACCCCTGAAGGATATGAAAAGGAACATTAACTAACACAGATGTGATAGAGTCAAATGAAGGAATATAGAAGCATAGAACCAGCTCTTAATAGCTGTTGTTCCCAGCACCTGTTAGGATCCCAGCTATAGGCAAAAAGTGAACCCCAAACAAATATAAAACACTATGAAAGTATAAAAATACATTTTTATATTAAAAATGCCAGCAATACATTTTTATATAAAAGATTACCAACAATACATGTAGTAAAATTACCAATAATACCTATTTATAATAAAATTACCTACAATACAATTTTAAAACAATATGACCTGCAATACATTTTATCTGTAGTTGAAGACATATGATTGCATTCAAATTATAATTAGTTAAAACCATAAAATTGTGTTCAAAATATTTGGATTTCAGCATTAAATAACCCATAGGTGTCGATATGCTGCTAAACAAAAAAAAAAATAAAATAAAATAAACCAAGTTAGAAATGAGAAGAGTTGGAAAGACAAGGTTGACAGGTGATTGTATAGAAGCTCATCAACAAAGAACAGTCTCAAAATTTTGGCTGATTGTAATCAGCATCACAATCAATCCCATCCAGCAATGACACATGCACACATCTGCTCCAGCAGGGGGTTCATCATTTATTTTTTCTTCACTTAGCATCATTTTTATGGTGAAGAGAGTTTTATTAAGGCTTCTTTGTTTAATCAGTGATTATGCTGTTGTTTGTTTGTTTGTTCCCCCTGGTCAATCAATTATGGCCTAGTGAATTACTTGCAGAAAATTAAGATAAAAAAATTTATAATAATTAGAAGATCAGCAACGGTAGCACGGTGATGGTAAACTTTGAATTAAATCTTCCACCTTAGCTTCACACATGATCCTCAAAAACATTCACCATTGTCAAAAGGTTTTCAAAACAATTCTCTGAACTTTGAGTCAGGATGTTTCCGGTAACTGCTGTCAGCTTGTCAACTCCTGACCTTTTCAACTGCTAAGTCACCTTAGGTTTGTACTCAATTAATATTATTCTTACACTATTTGCAAAAGTAATATATCATAAGATTTATTGAAATTTTTTCTTTTTTCATAGAAAAATATCTTTCCTTTCTTAGACCAGACTTTTGATCGCCAGTCAATCTTCAACACTAAACTTTCACACGAGCCAGAGCGTGATAACCAAAACATTAACAAAATCTCACATGCTACTTTATTTAATTATTTGCCGAGAATTTCAACGGCAGAATGATTTACTGGGAAAATGCATCAAAAACAATTTACTGGGAAAGTGTATTGAAAATGAATTACTGAGAAAATGCATTGCAGATCTTGCATAATGTACTGAAGATGATATGAATAAGCAGAAAAATATGAACAAAATCAATCATACTTTATTCTAGTCAAATCAAATATTTATTACCTATAAGTATATCTTTTTTTAATTATCTATTATTTTTTTTCTGCAAGTTTTTTTTCTGCAGAAAATTATTTGATGAATGAAAGTTTTAGGCTATAGTATAAATAAACAATGGAATTTACTTCCTACTAAATTCTAATCTAATTTCAAATGACTATAATGAAGACAATCAAATATTGACAATTTTTTTAAAAATTCATGTTTTTTCAAAATGTTGTTCAGATGACTGAACTCATTCTTTTTGTTTCTTTTTTATGGCTGATCAATTTCACATTTTTTTTTTGTTTTCAGGTGTACAATCTCTTTTAATATGGAGTGTACACCTGAGAGGAGGTCATAAGATGCACCAGTGAACATCTGATGAAAGCAAAAAAAAGAAATAAGTTTAATTATCAAAACAACATTTGAAATGATAATGGCTCATCCAAAAAAACTGCATATTTCTGTTCCCATAAAAAAAAAATTGTCTGATTAGTTGACTATATAAAAAGACATCATTCCTATTCATATTCATACAGTATTTAAAATTATTTATGCTGAAAACCCTCATATTATGTTTCAAGTTGACTATATATCAGGTCGTACCAAAAGTGAAGTTCAAAACCTGGCAGATATAAATTGAATGATGTTTTGTTTTAAAATGTTTATATGATAATACATGATGGCTCATGTTCATACAGTTTTAAACATTATTTACTCTATGCTAAACATTTTTAAAACATTTTGAGATGTTTCCCATTGTTAATTTATGCAATATAAAGAGAATCATTAGTCAACATAGTTAACTCACTTATCCTGATCATGCTTTGAGGAACAAATTGTTATAAAATAAAATAAGACATATTTCAGCTGATTTGCAGGCAAATAAACTAACATACTCGAGAGCGGGAGCCAGATGTAAGCAGGACAAGGCCCTGTCACAAAATGACCATTATCATCGTTTACGCATAAGCCCGACGCACGAGTTCCGGTCGAAAAATAAAATATTTTAAAGTGTTTCTATTTTTCAACCAATAAAAATGATTCCCTCCTTAGTAATTATACTCATGTCATTTTTACATTAATATCATTGTTTTAATCAAAACATATACACACACATGGTCAGCCAACAAGTAATGTGCATGGACAATAGATTGAATGATATTTCAACAGTTTTCAAATGTCTATATGATAATACATGCTGGTATGTGTTCATACAGTTGTAAACAATTTATATTGTCACAGTAGAATTAGTTACTAACTTGACTCACATGTCCATATGGACATGTAGAGCTCTGTAAGTATAGAAAAGGTTATCATAAATGATACAGAAGGAATTGGGAATATTCATGTTTACAAAACAGATTATTTAAACTACAAAAAACTACTGTCATTGATAGAAAAGTGATAGCAGAAGATTTGAATAAATAATTGAGAGATATTCAGTAACATTTAAACATTGGCCACATTTGAAGACAATATTTGAATGAAACTACTTACCTTTCCTCTGATGACAGGAGGATTGAAGCCAGCATAAACTGGGATGTAACTACTTGCCAGCAAACACTACAAATAATATTAATAGGAAAATGATATATTTTACTTATAATTTAATTTATTTCATGTTCATTCATGAAGAATGTTTTGTTGTAATAATTATTATAGTTAAATTAAAAAAATAAATTTCATTATGGTATATAAAAATAATTTACTTTCAACATACCTTTGCACCAAAGCTTATTGCATGTACACAGCTAAAGACTATGACTCCACTATATTAATATTATGAGTTTATCTATGCTGTGAAAATTGATGACATGTTTTGTTAAGCTCTTACAGTTATTAGTTTTGCGCATAGAAGTTTTTTTTAGATATATAAATATATATCATGACCATGTAAAATGATGGAATTATTTACATACAGACTGTCACTACTGGCTAGGATTAGTGTAGTATCTGTGCACTCTGCTTAGCATCAATGTGTCATTCTCCAGCTCTTTCATTAGGATCAGTGCAGTATCTGTGCACTCTTTGCTGCTCAAGCAGGTAAATGTTGACATAGAGCCACATATCACTTGTCTGCTTACCTCAAAATCAAATGATTGAAAAAAGGGTGGGATAACTTTTATTAAAGAAAAACCAAGACTGTTATTGGAACCAATAGACAACCTGCCAAAAGACCTAAATGGCCTTAAACAAGATAAAATCTTGAACAAGGACAACAATAAGGAAAAAGAAAAAGACCTAAAGGCAAACACCTACTTACTCAGTAAAGTGCTCAATGCCTAGATTACCTAGACAGAGCAAAAATGCTTGACACAATGTTAATTTCTATGAAAGTCGTAACCCAAATTTCATGCTCACACGACCTTCAGACTTTAACACCTTATACACACACACAGATATATATATATATAGTAAAGGTAATAAATCCATTGGAATATATTCCATGTGGATTCTAGTAATATAAAATATTAGAACTGATTCACAAAAAGAGCTCAATGTATTTATTATTACAGAGCAAAAATTAATACACAATAAAATCCAAAATCACCTCATATGGGGAATAAGCTTATTCTGACTGATGAAAATATAATTTGTCAGTCTTATTCAATCCTGGTATAGAATGAGTTCATGTCAGAAATAGAAATTTAACTGTGAAAGCTACAAAAAAAATATCAAAAAACTAATACAGAATTTATCCATTTCAATGTTTCAGTCAGACGAAAGGCACAAGAGGAGGGTGGAAGGTATTTGTCTTAAAGGTAAGAGCTTTTATAAAATTAAACCCAGATAACAACCTTATGAAATTAAATTGAGGTTATATGAAGAATGAAATGTTAATTTAAAACTAAGAGAGAAATAAAAAGTGGTTTAAAAAAATCCTTTAAAATATATAAAGTTATATTTGAAAATACAAAGGCATACTTAAAAGTACAAATTCATATTCCAAAAACAAGTTATATTTAAAAATAAGATATAATTAAATAAGTTATTTAAAAATAAAGCATATTTAAATAATTTATATTTAAAAATAAGTATAATTATATTTAAAAATAAGTTATATATAATGAAAATAAATAGGTTATATTTAAAAATGTAATAAAATAAAATAAAAAAGTTATATTTAAAAACAAGTTATATCTAAAAATACAAAGTTATACTTAAAAATACAAAGTTACAAGGTTAATATCTGGGTTTAATTTTAATTAAACCTGCATCATCTATGGGGAACAGCCAATATATATATATATATATATACACACACACACACACACACACACACACAAGGTAACCAAAAGAGTCCTTGTCAATGAGAAAAAAATGGTATACAACAAATTTGACATACCCTACCTTTTGCCAACTTTCCTCCAACTATGCAATGCTCTAGCAGTAAAAATCAGGTGTCATATATGCAAAGAAGTCTGAGTGCTTGCTGCAAGTCTGCCTCATTTGTGAAGGATTTCCCACAAAGGTGGTTTTTCAGGGAAAGGAAGAGGTGGTAATCTGTTGGTACAGTTTCTCCCAGCTAAGTTGCCATATGGTATCTCTTGCCACCCACACTACATGAGGCCTGGCATTGTCATGAAGGAACTGTATACTCTTGCAATTAACCAATGTTGGCCCCTTCTGCTACAGTTCCTGTTGTACATGATTCAACCAATGTCTTGCATGCTTAGGTGTGTCATACAGGACACATTTTTCATCACTGATGAGCACTCAATCAAATATGGCTATGTTGCAGTGCTGAGAAAGCAATGAGAAATCATCTGTTACTCATTGTTGTTTATTGGCATCCAACATTGTAGGGTACCCACTTGCTCAACTTGTAGTACACAGGTGAAGTCTGATTGTTTCAATAGAAACCTGGAAATGTTCAGCAAGCTCACCATAAGTTTGGCTGTTGTCCTCCTTTATGGCTGCATTCAGAGTCTCATCATCCAGGACCTGTGAGCAGCCACTAGGGATTCAACCTGAACTTCTGGAACCATTGCCTGGTGGGGCATTTGCTCACAGCATTATTGGCAAAGGCTTGACATATTTGGCAACTTGATGCGGCTGCAGACAAACCCACCTTTGACACTCACTGCTGCTCAACCTATGACTGATGTGTGTGTACAACACACCTGCATTTTTTAAGAGCAACACCCGCACTTTATTGCTTTCTTCATACATACATACATTATATATATATATATATATATATATATATATATATATATAAAATGATCACTTAAGATGTGAAACTGGTAATCTCCATGCAGTATTGATGCTGATGTTCACACTGTTTTAATCTACAAATGCTCCATTTATTGTACATTTTTATCCCATAAATAGAGAGCAAATTTGAATAAATTATATAAGATTTGTATATTGCTTTTCTTATGGATATAAGATGTGCTCTATTTTAAATACTTTTAAAAGAAGTTTTTAACACAAAAATCATATTTTTTTTATTATTTAACAATTAAAAGACTGTTGTTTCCCACAGTTTGATTTTCAAAACTGTTCTTTATTTTTCTTGGATGCTCCAAAGATCTAAAATTTCTTTTTCATATTTTTCCAAAGGAATACATCATTTCCTGACAGTTCAAAATAATTTTATTCATTTTGTTTATAAATCCATTCACTTTCTTAAATTCAATTAATTTCAGTTTTTCCTCCATACATAGATTGCAATTTCTTCATCTTTTTTTTTTTTATTATACCCCAATTCTACGACTGAGGTGGGGGGGGTCCTTTCCATTTTTATTTCTCCTATATGTCTTGACAACATGATGTTAATTTTGTAGCTTTCATATTTGAATGATAGCAAATTGTTTTCCTGTCCTTTCACATATATACCCCATCTGAAATTTTTCACATAAAGAAGGATTGTCCATGTTTACATGTGTAGATATAGTAGGCCAATGAAAAAAGGTCAAGAGATAATAAAATAATATTTGAAACTTGAATTTTTCTTTTAGTATGTTTGTTGAGTGGCAAAAATTACTTTAAGAAACCTATAATTGTAATAGGTAAATTTAAAGTGATTAAATATTAGTTAATATTTTTTTTAAACATTTGCCTCTATGAGATAAAATGTCAAAAGAAGAAAAAATTTTTTTTTCTATATTTTTAGGCCATTAGATCAAAAAGAATGATGAGAAAAGATGTTAAAAATCTATTTTTCACCTGAAGAAGATCAATAAATGTTGATGAAATGCATCATTTATAGATTTTACACTTTGTCTCATAATCTCTCTCTCCTCTCTATTTATATATATATATATATATATATATATATATATATATATGTGTGTGTGTGTGTGGTGTACTCTCCTATTGTGAATGATAAATGAGGGTCAGCAGTGGATGGTGCCTTTCATTTTACACTTATACATGCTAGCAGGGGCTATTGCGGAGAAAATCAGGTAAGGGAAAGAAATATTTCATTAATACTTTCTTAAGTGTGATACTAGCCCAGCCTTGCTGCGGGCGACAAAGCCACAATTACAGATGAAATTTGTTAAAGCAGGATTTTGATGGTGTCTCTGCTTTAGAGCTAGATGAAGATGATCACTGTGCTTCAGTCTACTGTCTTCAAAACACTTTAACTTAATGAAACATGTCTTATGCCACTCCTTTCAGTTTGATGCTTGGGCTTCCCAGGTTTTCAGATCAAAGTTAAGACATTTCAATTTGTCTTTCAATTTGTCTTTGTAATGTAAGTGTGGACATCCAACTGAATGCTTGAATGTTGGTAGTTGTCCATACAGCACCTTTTTTGGAAGCCTGTACTCATCTATTCTTACAACATGACCAGCCCACCTAAGTTGTATCTCTGCTAGAATGGTTTCAATGCCTGTGATGTTACATTTCTTCAGTATTGCACTATTCTTGACCCTGTCATCCCATTTTATATCACATATGGCACAAAGACAGCAGATGTGAAAGGCGCTAAATTGATTTATGTGCTTGCGGTACAGGGTCCATGTTTCAGCACCATAAAGAAGGGTTGAGAGAACAACTGATCTGTATATTTCAATCTTTACTCTGAGAGACATGTCTTTGGTGTTCCATAATCTATGTTTAAGATTACCAATGCTGTGCTGGCTTTGGTTATTCTGGATTGGATTTCTCTGTCCATTTTTTTATTTATATATATATATATATATATATATATATATATATATATATATATATATTTTTTCTTTTTTTTATATTTAACAATATTTCTTATTATTATAATCATTATTTTAGATTATTTTAATGAGTACATGTTATCCATTAAAATAAAGACCTAACAACTGCCAGGAAAATTCTGTTTGTCAGTTCATAGACATACTCAAATGTTCTCTCAATTCATTCATTCAATATTTCTTTGAACTAAGAACATGAGTTATATAATTCCTGTAAGAAGATTGTGAAAGAAATACTTGAGAAATGACTTCTAATCAAGGCGATGCTTATAACCTTTTTAAATTTTACTCACTTCTAATACTTCATTAATTATATTTAGTTTTTTTTATAACTCAGACATTTTATGAGGAATGTAAAAACTGAAAATGGAATATGGCAGAAAATGAAGTTTGTTTTTTCTTTTTTGATGTATCTATTTTTTTTACCTCTCCTCATATTGTGGATATCAATTTTCGAATTTTTTTTCAATAGTATATTGATACTATTTTTAAAAGTAGTCAAAAGAAGGAACAAAAAAAATGCTCTGAAAATCTTAATTGAAAAGGAGGAGTTTTTAGCAGCATAAAGGGGGTGCTGTAAATTTCTCAGTCTGACACATCCCAAAATCTGACCTAACATCAATGCATTTTTTTTTTTTTGTTAAAAGGGTGGGAATAGAGAATTCCCTCATGGTAATGCCAATAACTTTTCAGCACCCCAACATATAGTATCATTTAATCTCATGTAATTACAGAAAGGCAAATGTTAAAAAATATTAACTAATATTTAATCACTTTAAATTTACTGTAGAGTGAGTGGCCATCATTAAATATAAGTAAATGGCAGAACTGCCCAACAAACCGAATTGACAAAGTTTGCAATAAACAATAACAAAATTGAACAGGGCAAAAATAATATAAAGCAAGCAAACAATATATGGAAGACAAATTAACAATAATAAGGCAAAGCAACAGAAATGTAGCAAAATGTTCACAAACTAAGAATTAGAGTTGACACACAAGAGTGAGTTCAGATAAGCAAACATAGCATTTTGACTTCAAGACATGACAGACTGGGGCTGAGTAAGACGAAACTGAGATGTGGCCTATTTTAGTGGCTAGGAAAAAATCCCAGCATGCATTTGTGTGCTTCTGCCTGTAAATTGGGGAGGAGAAAGTATTTTTCAGTCATTCCTAATCTAGATTGGAACCAAGATTTACGTATTACAATTATAGGTTTCCTAAACTACTTTTTGCCACTAAATAAATATGCTAAAAGAAAAATTCAAGTTTTAAATAAAACTTAATTATTTAGAGCAAAACAAATAAGCATCAGGTTCATAAAATAACTCAGGGATGTACTTTTGGACACTTCTAAGTCCCCACCTCCAGACCAAAATGTAAATCCATTCTTTAACACCTGAAAACCCAAAATACAGTACTCACCTGCACAAGTTCCTGTCGACTACTGAAATGCGACATGGTCTCATTCCTTCTCGTCTCTAAATTGGTAACAGACACAAACAACTTCCCACTGGCAACTTCATGGGCATTATGAGGTAATTTCTCATTGAGGAATTTCTCCAAGGATTGAAGAAGATTATATTTGGGGGTCAGAGCACCAAAAGGCTGGTTTTGTACTTCTAAAGCAAGGTCATATGTAAATTTGACACAATCCTGAATCAGAAGAAAATATTTAAAAAATAAAAAGATGAAAAATATGCATATATATTTTATACTAAAATGTTGTCCATCAAATATTTTTTTAAGAAAAGCCACTAAGACACAAGGAGTTACAGGGTGTGGAAGAATTAGAAAACAGAAACATTACTAAGGAGCGAGAACAAAAGAAGAGTAATCAGGAAGACAGTAGACAACAACTGACATTGCATTTAAACTTTTGAAGATTAAAGTTGGATGGAAAACATGGAACTGGAAGATAGTTCCACAAATGAGAAGTGCAAGAAAAGAAACTGTTAGCATAGAACTTATTGTTGCATTGAGTCAACTCAACTGTAAATTGAGGTGACCTTATCACCAGTACTTAAATTCATAAAGTCTAGGTACCATAGCAAAGAGCTCATCCAAACAATTACCATAAAAGTATTTATAAAAAAGGTACAGAGAAGCAACTGTTGTGGAAAAGTGACAGAAGCTGAGACGCCAGGTCAGGATCAATAATATTGCTTATTCATCTTTAGATTTTATCAAGGATCTCTAAATATATAGCAGGAGCACAAGACCATATGTGACAGCAATATATGACAGTGTTTTTGCAGTATCATATGCAAATGAGATAGACAAGTATAAATAAAGAACAACTGGTGAACATAAGGGCATTGCTTAGCAAACCCATTTGCTAAATGTAATGTGGAGAACTGTGCTACGACTGCTACTACATAGAGATATACCAAACATAACAGTAGTGTCGCCAATAGGATTGTTAATTTCGCTGGACAACCCAGAACACATATAAACATGGATAAGAACTTTTGCTACATTTGCAAAAGTGAAAAAATTAAGAGACACAAAGACTGACAGAGGAGAGAACAGGATAACGGATTTATTTCTTGCTACCACTGCGTGCAAAGCTGTGAAGAAAATTTCGAGTGAATTAGAAGAAATGACATTTGAAGAAATTATTAAAATAATAAAAAAGAACATAAGACCAAAGAAAAAATTGGTCATTGCTACAAGAACCAAGTTTTTAGAGACATGACAAGCACCCAATGAGTCCATTATACAATACTTGAAAGAATGAGCCAAGTATTGTGGATTTGAAAAGTTGGGAGTTCGGGAAATGACTATAAAAGACGAATTAATCCTTCTCAGAATAATTGAAGGCTTGAACCAAAACCACAAACAAAAAATACTGGAATGTCTACAGAGTAGTAGCATGAGTTTGGAAACTAGCATCAAGTTTTTACAACAATTACAGTTGATTAGAGAATTTAATCAACCAAAAGAAGAATTCAAGATGTACAGAAATGAACTGGATGATGTGGAAATGGAAGATCAAGAACAAGAAGAGACAGAAAATCACAAAAGTGGAACAGAGCAGGAAATGGAAGAAAGTGAGAATGAAAAGACAGGTGAGAGTGAAGAAGAAAATGAAGAGCGACCAAGATCACCATTAAAGAGAAAACAATAAAGAGGAAGGACATCACAGTACAAGAATAATCAGGAATAGTAAAAGAATAAACAAGGGCATATGACCTCTCTGATTCAGGGAAGTGTAGTATCATATGCAAATGAGATAGACAAGTATAAATAGAGAACAACTGGTGAACATAAGGGCTTGCTTAGCAAACCTGTTTGCTAAACATAATGTAGAGAACTGTGCTATGACTGCTACTACACAGAGCCATAACAGTTTTAATGTTAGAAATATACTTTTACTAAATATACTTATCATTGTGAGCAATATCAAATTTTGATATTTTTGGTTATCTATAATTAAGCTGTTCTATGTAAAATTTAAGTAGGCTTTCATCACATATGGGTAATGGTAATATTAGTTGTTTCCTTATAAGGAAACATTCAGCATTCATTGACTGAGCAGCCAGTTCTATTTTCAGTTGAAATTTATAAAATATTTCTCTTAAAACAATTTTTCAGGAAAATAGGTTTCTCAAGTCCAGTAACTGTTATTGCTCTTTCCAGATGGGGGCTTTCTTCCTAGTTGACTCAATACTCATTTGACCTTTGAACAGGTTGACAGGTAACAAACATCTATGCTTTGTGTATTACAAAGGATCGACACTAGTTTATATATATTGCTAGATGAGGCAAGTGATGCTTGTCTATCTCTCAATTTTTTATCCAAAAGGAGTTTAACCAATCATCAGACTGGTTGCTTTTATTTATTTTTATTTTTTTGCATTGGTCATACGTGGACAAAGTCTAACATCTTGCTAAGAGCCTAATGTGCATTAACAGGAGTATCTCTTCCCTGCCATTTAACATTGTTAAACAAGGAGTTGTGAATGGAGAGATGGTATATTTACTAAGATTTAAAATCATTTTGGCTATATATTGTCATTAGATAAGGTTGGTAATACTGTTTTTCACAGGTTGCCTATCTCTCAAGTTTGCTTCCAAGGTTTAGACAATCATCAAACAGGTTACTTTATACTTGTTCCTACATTAGTTACACCAGGAAAAAGATTAGCATCTTATTATTTGCCCAATGTGCATTAACAGGAAGATGTCTTCATTTCATCATTGTTAAACAAGAAGCTCTTTTTTGTTTTTTTGTTTTTAAATTGACTATCTATACATATATAAAGGGCAGTTGTGTATATGTGTGTATCTGGCTAAAACTAAAAACCTACAATCATTATCACCCAAGCCAGCTTTTTGTAGATTTTTTTTATCATTGTATGATTTGTATTTACAAAGATATTTTAAAATTAAAATGAATTAGACTGCATTCAAAATTCTTAGAATTAAAAAGTAAAAATGAACAGTAATAATTCTTATTCCATATTAGTGATTACCGTTCATTTTTACTTTTTATTCTACTAAATGCTATACATGTATGTATTTTTAAAAGTTTTATTCTCTTGAATTTATTTTCACATCTATAGTAAATAAGAGCATAAATTTAAAAAATGAATATTAAAACAACAAAGCAAATTTTAAAAAAAGATTAAATACAATTATTTGACAAAAAGTTTAATATTCATTTATTCAAATATTTGAACAGATTAATGTTGATCGTAAGTTATGTCTGTCTCTGCTAATTTTTATTTAACTAAAGATTTTTCTTTTCAAATACAAATATAACTTGAAATTTAAACATAATTGCTTTTCAAAACTAAATTCTCAATGTATCTTGCTTCTGATTTCTTTCAAAATAGTAATTAATGTTTAAAAGTAAAACTTTATTTACTTAAAAAAATTTAAATTTACCTTCAAAATAAATAGTAAATAATTATTTTTCAAAGTAAGGCTCACTATAGCTTTTTCTTGAAAAAAATGATAAAATTAAATGTTTAGATAGATCTTAATTTAAGTTCATTAACTTTTTTATTAATAATGATTTAAATATGGTTAATGAACTTTTATCTGTTTGATTTGTTTGAAAACAACATTAACAGAGTATATATGTTAGTATTTAAATTGAATAATAAAGTGTCTTTTTGAAAAAAATATGGAATGCTCTGACCCCTAAGCCCCCATCACCCAAGCATGGTATTTTTAGTGTGGTATTTTCCTAAATTTAGTTATTTTATAACAAACCTAAAAAAAAAACAAAAAAAAAAACAATGAAGTTTATTTTTTAAAGATTAAATAAAAATTATTTTCCATAAGATGGCCGAAAAATATCAATAAATTGTCAATAATAAACTATTATTCAGAGATCTTCCAAGCAATGTTGGGTATCCCTGCTAGTGTATATATTAAATCTTTATTCTGTAGAAGACAAAATTTCTGATGCACAACTATTTTAGTCCTAAAAATTATGTTCAGTTCTTTATTCTGACAAGAACTTAAAAAAAAATAATGAAAGAAAAAGGAAATATGAATGAAATAATGAAAGAAAAAGTAAAATGAATGAAATAATGAAAGAAAAAGGAAAAAGGAATAGAAGATTCAGATTACCACAACAAATCTATCAGTACAGAGTTGCCAATTTAGCACCTTCTGGAGTTTGATCTAACTCTTTTTCAATGCATTTATCGCCTGTATATCAACAACTAACTCTTTTTCTTATTTATGAAATAATAACTTTTAGCAAAAAAAGAGATAACTGCTGTTTTCCAGAAGCTAAAAGCACTGAGAAAACAAGTGAGATCCTGCTCCAAAAGGAGATAAATTGGCAACTCTGAAGACATATCAATTTTCAAAACCCTAATCTGAAACACAGTGATTACAAAAATGTCACAGAAAGCAAGAGGTGGGAATATAACAGGACCTCAGATCTATGAACACACTGACTTCTAATCTAAATATTAAGTAACATTCTTATGCTCCTAAAAACAAACATTAATATTTTTACATTATGGATATTATGGATTTTGCAAGTATTTGCCTGATTAGAACTTTTTACATAGGCTCAGAATCAATATATTTCTTCTTTTAGACTTGGTCTGAAGATTGCATTGAAGCATGAAACTGACAATCACCATGCAGTATTGATTTCTATGTCCACACTGTCTATACCTATTTTTCTATTAAATAAAGATAGGGTAATGAATATAACATAGTAGCAAGTGCTAAAAATAGAATATCAAATTGATTAGCACACAGTTCTCAATTTTAACCATTATGCTTCACCCATGACATAGTTTCCCTATGAGAAAATCATGTTTTGGTTAGCAAACTGCATATTTTTGCGAGGTATAACTGCTGTTGTTCTGAAAAATTAATACCCATAGAGAAATACAAAGTCAGGAAACTTTTGGTCTGTAGCACAATTATGGCATTTTATCAGGTTTCTTTGTAACTAAACCCAGTCTCCATGCACCTAAATTGATAGTTGAAAAATTATCTTATTTGCATTTTAACACAGACTAATGAACTGAAATATTTTTTTTCTGTTGGATAAAGAATTTAAAAGAGATTCCAGAGCTTTTGCAGTAAATTTAACTTGGCTTTTTATAGTTTTATATCGTGCATTTACATAGTTTATTCTTATCTAAGCAAACAATGGGATGCGTTAATTTCATCAAATACTGGATGTACACAATAGAAAAACAGTGAAAAATGATCAAATGAAAATATAAGAAAACTGTAATATTTACTTGGAATCAGTGGCAGACTGACCAGTGTCAGTTTGCTCAATGGCAAGTGGACCTCTGATGTTGTGGGTCCCCTTATCAAATAAAAATGCAATAAAGAAACAAACACAAACAACTGTTTTACCAATAAAAAGGAATAACTTTCTAAAGTCATCTGAACACTATCAGCTACTCAAGTCCAATGTAACCGAATTTTTCAAAGCTAAAAATCATAAAAACAGGATTAAGAAATTTGTTGTCTGAGGAGAATTTGGAATCATATATGTTGCTATTCTTTAAAAAGGAATTGTTAGATGAATTGGATAAAGAATCAATTATTGACAGATTCACACAATCATCTAGCGAATATGAATGAATGTTCTTAATATAGTGGATTGCATGTAATGCTTTATTGTGCTTTTGAACTATCTGTTAATCTATAAATCAAGGAGTAAACTATTTAAAAACATCAACCATTTACTTAAAATTAAAAAAATAAATAAAATATTCAATAATAACATTCTGTATTTACATTTTTTTAATCTACTACCAGTAATATGTACAATATATGTAAACTGTAATTACTAAGAAATACACATTTTTTTTTCAGCAAAAAAAATTTAATTGTACCGTTTTCTTCATATGTATCTTTTGAAAATTTTATTTATTCATTATGAAAATTAAATGATAGCATTGTAGTTGTGGGTGAATCGCTTTTGTCTACTGGCAACCAATATTTTTAGACCCAGTCTGCCACTGGTTAGAATTTTAATTATTTGAAATCATTTAATATACATCAAAAGTATTTACACTACATGCATTGTTCAGACTGTGTCCTCACCTTTATTGTGATATCCACAATGTTTTGGATGTTGTACTCTCCAGTCTTCTTCAGGATATATATATTTGAATTTTGAACCGAACCCCTTTATTTAATCCACAGAGGTAGATTGTTCTAGTTTCACTTGCTTTTTATAGATGTCTTAGTTTCAGTTAATTCAATTTAGTAATTTAACTCTCCAAGAGTTTGGTTCAAAATTCTGGCATTTATCACCTGAAAAAGGCCAGATTTACAATGATTGAAACGTGATGGATATGACAGTAAAGATGATGACAACAGTCCAAACAATATAAATAGTGTAAATAATTACAATACCTCATCTCGGAAATATAATCAGATATTATCAATAACATAATATATTAAACAAAAGGCAATAATAGCTACTAAACAATAGAGAACAAAGAAATAGATAAATTCAAAAAGATAACCAAAGAAAGAGAAAAAAGGATAATGTTCTAAATTTTAAAAAATGATAAAACCACTTTCAACACCAGATGTTTACCAGCCAAAGATATTTTTATGATAACTGCTTTTTAAAACTAACAAGAAATTTTACAATCCAATGATAATTCTGTTTTCTTATTTATCCATTTTTTAAATATAACCTAAAAATAGAGGTGAATTTAAATTATCCATAAAATTTTCCATAACTTAAATAGTCACCAATTTTAGCTTTGCAAAGATGAGCAGTTTCACAGCACTTTCATTAATTTCTGTTATACAAAAATAAAGAAAAACAGAACTAAAGAAAGGCAACAGAAAGAATTTGATGACATAATTCCCATGTTTTTTTCTCTAAAAAAAAAAAAAAAAAAATAATAATAATAATAATAATAAAAATAATGCTAAAAAATATCTCATAGATAAGCAGTATGTAAAAGTGGTGCCACTATACCATGATGTCATAGAAATGTCCAGACCTATATCATTTGTGCTCTGACATCTAGTGAGTTAGTCTGAACACTGGCTAGCTGACATGAATTATTTAATTTTGAACAGGGTATAATAAGATGGGAATTACATTTCTGAAATTCTATCACTTTCCCCATAGATTCAATGTTGCATGACTATCCCTACACTATTGTTATTTCCAAGGAAAATGTTCCAATGAGCTTGGTTCTTTCATTCCACCAGTTCAGACCTTAAGCTAGGACATGGCACACATGCTGCTTCCACACAGCTGAATCACCCTCATTTCCTCTATATTCCAAATGTAAGGAGAAAGTTGCATTCAGGAAGCTTTCTCCCAAAAACTACTGCTTTGTGGAACAGGCCCCCTGCATGTGTTCTTTCCCAAATGTTGACCTCTTCAAGTGTCAGTTATTATCTATCCTCCTTATCCTCATAATCTTCAGTTCTTGTTACCTTCTCTTCCATTCATATTACACACTTCATTCAGTTTTACTATTTCAACTGTAACCCTCTAACTTGAATCCAAGTAAAAAGTCAGTATTTTGAAAACTGCTTTCCAAGATAAGCAAACAGGCACTCTTAAGTGGGACATTAACACACACTGTCTTTAAGGAAAATGGGAGCAAAAAGGACACTTCAGAAGCAGTTGAAATTTCTGAGACACATAAGGAATTTGGAGAACTTAACCTGTGAGGTCATATTGAAGGCAAGAGCACACCACTATAAAGTTGCCTCTGTGTGCCTTTTTTTATAAATACTTTCATCGTAATTATTTGGATGTGCTCTTCACTATGGTATCTAGACTGTATGAATTTAAGTGCAATATTAGACTGGTGGTGAGATCTCATCAATTTACAATTGAGCTAACTAGATGTATAGCTGGAACTTCTACGCTAGCAGTTTCTTATCTTACACTTCTTGCTTGTGGAACTCACTCCCTGCTACATGGATTCCAATCAACTTTAATCTGCAAAAATTTAAATGAAATGACAGTTGCTATCTACTGTTCTCCTGATTGCTCTTTTCTCTTTCGCATCATTACTAATGTTTCTGTTCCTAATTCATCCACACTCTGTAACCCCTTGCATGCTAGTGGCTGTACTGCCTTGCTTGGGATGATACGGATTTAAAAAAAAAAAAAAGGAGAGAGAGAAAGAGAAACATAGGGAAATGGTGAGTAATCTAACAAGCTTTTGTAAATCGATGGCAGAACAGAGTTGGAAGGATGGTGAATAAACACTATTGTGGAGAGACATGACACATAAAAGAAGTCATCAGTGGGTATTATTTCTATGGTAAATTTTCATATGAGCTTCATTCTTTAGTTCCACCAGTTCAGATGTTTACTACTAGGACATACCATGCTACTTCCACACAGCTGAATCACCCTCATTTCCCCCATATTCCAAATGTAAGGAGAATATTCCACTCAGAAAGCTTTTTCCTCAAGAACTGCTAATTTGTGACTGCTTTCCTGAAGACTAAAATCTTAACTTCAAGTCAAAAGTCAACCATTATCTATCATGCTTATACTCAGAGGCTTCACATCCTACTACCTTCATTTTTGTTTCTATCAAATTTTGTTCATTTTAACACTATCTTGGGTGACTCTTGAGCCTTGTATTGAGTGAATTTTAGTATAGAAAAAATATTATATGATACTAGGTCTCCAACTGATCACTTTTGGTATGATAGTGTATATGCAAAATTGCAGCATCTAATAGGATAATGCTTCTCTCTATGCTATAGATCAGTGGTTTTCAACCCTTTTTTGCCAAATACACCCTTTTCACCATGGCAGAATATAACTCTCCGCTTTTCATGATTGTCCAATTCAAAAGGTGCATTCCAAATAATATGTAAATATCATTGAAAATCTTCACTCTTTTTCATATTAGTACATACACATTTACATGGATTATTTTTATAGGCGTTTTTTTTTTTTTACACTCATGATGGACTCCAAATCTGGTAAATAAAAAACAAAGAAAAGTAAAAGCTTTCTCCTAAAATTTCTACCTGGGGTGGGGGAGAATTCCCCCTGTTTGAGAACCCCTGCTATAGACCATCAATACTTTTAGTGAACCTAATTCCATAATACTGTAATATTATTTGCAAATAGTGGGGTTTTTATATGCCGCCAAATACAGTAATACAAACATCTTCAAGAAGAAATCATAAGCACCAACTGGGAAGCAGGTACATACATGTATCAGGTTTTTATCGATTGACAGAACTGCTCCAATAAGAGAACCAGCAGAGGCTCCAGCAATTCTTTCCACTTTGTTGAGGAAACCTGCCCCATGCCTCACTAGACATGTGGCAACCCCCAGCTGGTAGATACCAAGGAATCCACAGCCACAAAATGACAAGTTCATCATGGGTGGATCAACATCACCATCATCATCATCAACCATATCAAAAGCAACATTATCACACGGATTCGTTCCGCTGTCATTAGACTGCAAGGATTCCTCATTCAACTGAAAAGAACAAAGAAAATGAAAAATTAGTCAATATCAATATATTAGTAAAAGTCTTTTGTATAGAAAGAACATTTTTAATTAACCATGAAGTACACATAATTATAACTACACTGTGTCAGATGTTATTATGCAAATAAAATATTTTCATAAAATTGACATTGACTAAACAATGCTGGTAAACATTTCAGGATATATTTATATGCGAAATATACCATGTAAATTTCAGCTTATAATATCTATTTTGTTCAAAATATTTGCAATAAATAATTTGGGGAAGTGAAATTTTATTATGCAACCTGAAGGTTGTTCATTATGTTGCGAATAAATATATATGTATTAGTATAGCAAGTGATATTTATGTTTTAATTTCAAATTTATAATGACTGAGACAAGTTGTAAGAAAAACATAAGCTTAAAAGAGAAACAAGATATTGTAAAGTTATTGACTGATGGGAAAACAACAGTGGAAATTGCAACAAGGTTGAACAGAGATCATGGAAAAACTGCTTTTAAGAGTTGAAAAAAAGATATGAGAAAAATTTGAATTCTAAAGGGTTAAATGAGTTATAAAAAAGATATAAGCATTCAACCCATCCTATAAATATCGGCTCTCAATGTTAAACTTGCCATAACCACCCCATGTACACTCTGCCATAACATATCACAAATAATGCAGAAAGTCATGCAAAAAATGAATTGGGAGTGTTATATTCCATGCTAATAGGAATATATACTTGAAAAACAAGATGGATAAAATAAGTAAAGGTTTATTGTAAAAAACCAGTACAATAAGAATAAAGGTAACAGTCATCACAAGTCAATCCAGTAGTGAGTGCTACTATTGGAAGGTTGGTAGTTCTCACAAAAGTCTGAGTCATAATCAATAGATCCCAGTTAGAGTATCTAGCAACTGCCCCATGCAGTCACATATGGCACAAGGCCGAATTTAATGTGGGTCTCCCAAGCCCATAGGTTCAGCCAAAAAATCCCTGTAGACCCTGCATAAATGGGATCAGGTCTGTCTACCTCCCCAAACAAGACTCTGCCCTTCGGCACAGCTTCATCTGGGTTTCTCACCGCCTTCAGGCAGAGAGTTCAACAACATCTAAGATCTGAGAAATAGATTGCAGCTAAATAACATACAGATACTTATAGGTAGATACTACCTATAGTGTAGTCAATCATGGGGGTGACAGGTTATTCCATTACATCAGGGAGCCAATATTTACTAGGTAGGTTTGAGTGTGTTGAATGGTAAAGGGTTAAAAAAAGAAGCAAGATATTGTAAACTTATTGACTGATGGGAAAACAACATTGGAAATTGCATCAAAGTTGTACAAAGATCATGGAAACAATCAAAAGAAAACATTGTAAAGATAAAAATGAGGGCAAAATTGGTTTTAAAGTTGTTGAAAAAAAAAGACAAGAGAAAAATTTGATGAATGTTAAAGGGTTAGATAGGTGAACAGTGATCATAGAAAAATCAAAAAGAAATTGAAAATATTGGCAAGATAGAAGAACAAGAAAAAATGGCTTTAAGAATGTCCCAAAATGAAATATGACAGAAATGAAATAGAGTAATATGTAAAAAAAGCAAACTGATTAGCAAAGAAATATTTGAAGAAGATTGTATAGCAAATGGAAACAGTAAAGATGAAGAATATTAACATTAGCTGAAGGCATGAAAGCAACCAAACTATTATCTTTAAGTAAATATCACATGTAAGAGACACAGTCTCACTCTAAAGCTGGTAACAACAAGAGACACTAATGGCATTGAAAAGGGAAGAATAAAAATAAATGATGCAACTGACATTGAAGATTTTTCTCAAAAAGAATTCACTTAATTGTGCAAATTAGTATTTTGAAAAAAAGCATTTTTCACAGAAAATTTTATAATTGTAAAAAGAGAATTTAATTTCAGGACTTTTATCAAGATAAAACTGAAAATGTGATAGCTCCTGACCTGGCATCTCAAATCCAGTCACATTCTCACAGATGTCATATGGCTTCTCTCTGTCTTTTCTGCAAATATTTTCATGGTAACTTTTCCAACGAGCTATTTTCACAGGTGCCCCAACTGCATGAATTTAAGCTTGCTACTAGGTTGGCATCTTAGTCCCACCCTTTCACTGTCAAAACAGTTAAATGTAACTGCCTCTTCTACTCCAACAGCTTCTTCTCTCACACTTCCCAACATTGGAACTCCCTTCTTTTTACTTGCTTCCCTGATAAGTATAATCTTCAAAAATTTAAATGTAATGTCAATCAACATCTTAGGCCTTGATCTTGATCCCCATCCTTCCCTTTATCCTTTCCTCAAAAACCTCTCTTTACTCTTACTTTCACTCTCTGTAACCCCTTGCATGCCAGTGGCACACCTGCCTTGCTTGGGGTGAAATGCTTAAATAAAAATAATAATAATAATATTACTTGAAAACATCAATTCTGATAGAACTAACATTCTTGGATGAAATGAAGTTTTTGAAGTAATTGATACAAATGTAATGGACTTTTAGATATTTAGAAATCCAGACAAGGCTGGGTACTTCTGCTAGTATATTATATAAATATGTATGGTTGCTATGTTATGACAGGAAGCTACACATGCAGACTAATGAGTTTTCATCCACACTGTGACCTTTTAGCAGACTAACTATTTTATAAAAATGTTTATCAAAAAGACCCAAATGTTAATATTCATCTGAATTGGCATAGAAATCAATCAACTATTTGCTCTTGTATAAAAATGACAACTAGTCTTAACATATTCAGTGCCAAACCACATTAATAAGCACCTCTGATATTTTACCTGTTAAACAGTGTTAATTACAAGTTTCCTTTTTGAAATTCACACTATGTCTTCATTTTGTCCTCTATATACTGTTTTCCAATAAAACTATTTAATCTCTGGAATTCTGTGTTGTTCTATTTTTGACTGACAGATGCCAGCAAAAGATGTTGGTACTGAATGTATTGTCCGAGTTTCTTAATGGACAATATCATCGTTAGTAATTTTTTGAACTAAACTCATGACAAAATTTGAAGGATAAGAAATATGAGTTCAAATCTCATCAAAAAGTTGTCCCATGTTATTGCCAGTTGTAGAATGCTATAACAACCTAAATGTTACAATAAAAAGCAACAACAAATAATATGAAAGAAAACTATTATATGCCTTGTTATTCAAACCAATATACAAATATTGGTGTTATGCTCACAATATTTTGAACGTCATACCTTTCAGACTTCTTCAAGTATGTCTTCATAATCAGTAACCATCTTAGAATTTTGAACTGAACTCTTTATTCAATGTACAGGGTTAGATTGTTCTCATTCCACTTTCCAGGTTTAGGTAATCTTTCATATCAGGTAAAATTCACTAGTCTTATCCAGTTTTGTGTTGCATGTGTGTAACTTCCACTAAACAAAAGTATATGACTTTTCAGCACTACCAGACCTCAGGATTGAACTCACAACTACAAGGGAACGAAATATGCTTTAATCAATTTTTTTTATTCCACTAGTTCATATGCCATGTTGTGAGAATAATGACCAAGCTAAGCATGCTGGTCTAAACAGCAAGGAATATAATGATTCTGTATCTCAAAGATTTATTTTATAAAAGAAAACTAGTCAAAAATTAATAAGAATAATGTATCTTCAATCAGGATAATTTTATTTGTTAAAATATTGATTTATTGAGATTAAATAAAAACAAAAAAACATGGTTACTTAAAGTTTATACCAATGAGAGAATGATAATGGTAATATAAACCATTTCTTTATAAGGAAATGTTCAGCATTCATTGACTGAGCAGCCAATGTTACCAATGGTTGAAATTTATAAAATTTTTCTATTAAAACAATTTTTTCAGAAAATAATTTTTTCAAGTAATCATTAGCAGTCTTTCCAGTACTGATGAGTGTGTAGGGATACAGAAGGCACTTATCTCCTTTTGATGGAGATAAGTCACGTATATCATGTGATGGCTGCTTAATGACATCACTCCATACAGTGAGAAAAGTGACAGTCAAATTTCAGTCTATGGTGCTGTTTCCCTTTGGGAATATATCTTTTCCAGATATAGAAAGAAACTGCTCACAATCCTCAATTTTAGAAAACCCAAGACTCGCTGTTTCCTGTGGAATATGTCCTCGCCTGAGATATAGATGAATCTGGCCCATTTGAATCTGAAGTCTTAAAAAATGGCTTCTCCAGACACAGAAGTATCTCCATATTATATGTAAGATCCTTCCTTTGGTTTCTTCTCTCGTCTGCTTTGCTGTGTAGATACATGTGATATATTATTCTCCATGTGGGACACTTGTTATGGGTATGTCTTAGTAATATAAAACTTGTCTTGGGTATGTCTTAGTAATATAAAAGTGTCTCTGAGAACAAAGGATGTTTGTCATTCCTTTTCATTTTAACCATTTTGTTCTATCCATGAATTATGGTGTTATTATATCCCAGATATAATAATGTCTATAATGGGAATACAAATGGGAAAATAAGATTTTCTTCCATAGCTGCTTCCCATTACAAGGACTTCCTTCCTAACTTTTTCTTTGAAGTAATGTAAAACATCATCATGTAAATGCTTTGTTAAGAAATATTTTTCAATTCTTAATAAGTCCAGTTAGCTCAGACATGGCCAGTACAATTCTAAAACAGTGAAAAGTTTATATATATATATATATGTGTGTGTGTGTGTGTGTGTGCATGCACACATGTTTAAACATGTTTTATCAAATGGAATAGACGAAGAATGTGTATTGATCCTTTTAGTAGCTTTCTCCTGATGACAAATGAATCATTTTATTAATTCAACACCATGGAAACTTACAAAAACACTCAATAAAAATTCTTTCTGTTTTGTTTGACAGAACATGTTTAGGTGAAGGATTACTACCTAAATATAATGTATTTCTGTGTACATGAACACACACACACACATTCGTGTGCAAAAGTTTTGGGCCAACTACATAAAATT